TGCCTGCCTTCTGAAAAAACACTATTAGTTCCCAACTGATGCTATAACAAATTGTTACAGATTTAGTAATTTAAAACAGTGCACATTGCTTACTTGGAAGTTAATCAGAAAGATCAAGGGAAGGACTCATTCATTGCCTGGCATTTTGCAGTCGTGTCCTATGGGTCGTGATCCTTTCTCTATCTTCAAATGCTACTTCTTTCTGTACATCCTTTCCTGTGGCTTATAAGGGTTCTGTGATGCCATTGGTCCTATATAATAATCCATCCCGCTCAGTCCATCTCTAGCCTATTCTTTTTTAAATTGTACTAAGTGTTTCATTGTGTTATTTCGATACATCCATATAATGTACCTATACTGTCTTTTTCTTTAAGTGGGTCACAGCTACAAATCCCTTCTCCTGGCACCTCTGAGTTCATTATCTGAGACTGAGATATCTCTTACCTCAAAATTAATAGACAGAGCTGAAATAGGAAGAGGTAGGCTTGCTCACCGAAATACAGAGACATACAAAGAAAATATTTCAGGAAATTAATTCTTGGATCAAAGGACTCCCCCCCACCCATATTCTACAGACAGTTGGAGGTGAACATATCTGTTTCTTGGTAGAGGAACAGGCTCTGCCAGCTATAAAAGCAGAGCAAACCTTCCTTGGCCTTTCATGCTGCAAAATATGGAAATATATTTCAAATTGCAAATGAGTTTTATCCTGTCCTGTCTGCCTCTCAAGGAGTTATGAATATTTATTCATTCTTAGAAAACTTGAACAGGGGCTGGGAAGGTGGCTCAGTGGTAGAGCGCTTGCCTTGCATGCCTGAGGCCCTGGGTTTGATTCCTTAGCAGCACATACGCAAAAAGAAAAAAGCCAGAAGTGGTGCTGTGGCTCAAGTGGTAGAGCGCTAGCCTTGAGCTGAAGAGCTGAGGGACAGCGCCCAGGCCCAGAGTTCAGGCCCCATAACCGGATCCCCCCAAAAAAAATTTTAAAAAAAAGAAAAAAAAGAAAGCTTGAACAGGTATAGTGATTGTCCCAGGCTGAATAGAGAGAGAGGATGTAGACCTAAGCCATTCTATGAACATATATGTTGCATAGAGAAGACATAGAATATGGGTCCAGGGTACATAATGTGGATCAATAGTTCTAGAGACTTCCTTATAGGAAGGAAAGTGCCCCAACTCTGATATCAGTCAATTAGGAGCAAAACTAGCTTTCCTGGCCTATAACCCCAACCTAGATCTGATAGATGAAAATATGTGACTACTGAAGAAATATAGCTCTAATTTACAGAACTGAGGGATGTCTGGCCTGCAGCCCATATAAACTCCTTGAAATCATTTGGTCTGGCTTGCCAAGACAACTATAGATGAGACTCAAAATTCAATAAATCTAGGAGGTTTCTTTTCAGTCGAAATTTAATAAAGCTAGGTCTGAGAAGGATATTACAAATATCCAAACAACATTTGGCATAAAAAGGTTTCCCTACTCCTTGGAGTTATGACCGGATTCATTCAACAATTGGTTTCTCCAGCACCTCTTATGTGCCAGGCCCTATGCTAGCAGCAGTGAATTAGTCATAGTTCCTGCTGGCTTACGAGCCCTTTAGAGGAGACAAGCAACAAGCAGGTATGCATGCTTCTTAGTGTCCACAAAGGATAGTTTCCAGGAACCCTATGAATATGAAAGTCCATGGAGACTCTAGTCCCCTATATAAAATGCTATCATCTTTACATAGATCTTATGGGGATCTACCCATATACTGAAAGCCACCTCTATGTTACTAATAAAACCTCTTATGACATAAGTGCTATGTAGAAAATACATAGACTAAATAAAATAAGTAAGAAGGAAAGTCTATATATGTTAGGTACAGGCACAATGTTTTTCAATAACTTTTTTTTTTGTCAGTCCTGGGGCTTGAATTCTGGGCCTGGGTGCTGTCCCTCAGCTCTTCAGCTCAAGGCTAGCACTCTACCACTTGAGCCATCAAAACCTTTTTTATCTGCAGGTGGTGTATGTATGGATACAGAATCTGTCAGTGTGAAGCCTAAGGGCAAATAAAACCAGAAAATCATTATGAATTGTGACATCCTATAGGACACGGTGAAAGGGATGTCTGATTTGCATTTTGGGATGAGAAGATGAGGGAGGTCCTCTCTAGACACCAGGATGGATGCTGAGGTCTAACAGTTCTCATCTAGATGTGAGAGGTCAGTGGCTTCCTCTGGGAACCTCAGAAGCATAGGAAGCTGAGCTAAGTCTGGCAGGATGGTTTCTCAGAAGGAGCTTATGGCGCGGATGCACATACAAAGGCAATGCTGTGAGAATGGGGCCAGCCTCTCGCCAATGTGAGGATTTTGCTGCCCCACCAATATTTGTGCAAGATGATGAAAGACAGTCATTTTTTCCTAGCATTAAATTTAATCTCTTAATATTCAAGTCATTATATTCCTATGAAGCTAGAGGGTTCTCAAGATCTGAGGCTGAGAATAGATGGTGATAATTTTTTTAACTGAGTCTATTTGGTGAATTATGAGCTGTCAGTTTTGTGTCAGAATCCTAAATTGGAGCTGGATGCTTTAGCCAGGCCTGTAATCCTAGCTGTTTGGGGAGGTAGTAAGCTGGAGGATCATGGATTGACGTAAAAAGCTAGTGAGATCCCATCTTAATCAGTAAACTGGGCATGGTGGTGGCACATGTCTCTCATTCCAACTATATGGGAGGCGTAGGTAAAAGATCGAAGTCTGAGGTAGGGGCTGTTGCACAAAGGGAGGGAGGCAGGGTGAATAAATGCGGTCATCCTATCAGCATATGAGCTATGTAACTTGTAGGCAGGGATAGGAGGGGCAAACGGGGAAAGCAAAGGAAGGAGTGACATTATTTAAAAAAGTATTCATTACCAGATTTATGAAATGATAGCCCCTCTGTACAATGTAACAACAGTAACATTATAGACTTTTTTTTAAAAAAAATCTGGTTCTGGGCAAAAATAGGAGACTCTACCTGAAAGATAACTGAAACAAAAAGAATTAGAGGCATGGTTCAAGTGACAAATGGTAGAACATTTGGGGTCCTGACTTCAAAAATCCTGTAATACAAATAAAATAAATAATTAATCAATAGATATCCAGATTTAGGGGAGGAAAATGGACAAACTATATTGTTCCTAGTTTAGGGAAGGCTATATAAAGCACTCCAGTCTAGGGAAGGCTTCACTAAGCCTTGTCCAGATTTACTTCTGCTTGAATCATCTTCCTTGTACAAAGCTTTTAGAAATAGAAAACCAGAAAAAAGCAAAGCAAAGAAAACCATCCAGTCTGTTTTCCTAGCCTGAGTTCCTCTGAACAGCCTCCGATTGATTCTTCTTATAGAATGCCAGCTGGCTTTCTTTTTACTTAAGGTATATGAAGAAGAAGGAGAAGGAGAGGAAGAGGAAAGAGGAGAAGAGGAGGAGGAGCAAAGAAGGAAAGAAAGAAAAAGGAAATGAAAGGAAAGGAAGGAGGAAGGAAGGAAGGAAGGAAGGAAGGAAGGAAGGAAGGAAGGAAGGAAGGAAGGAAGGAAGGAAGGAAGGGAAGAAAAACTCCTACCCATTAAGGAACACTTTTTTTTTAATTCTCATAGGAAAGAATATTCAATTGTACTTAGGAGCAGAGTGAAGTTAGAGTAAAAGTTCACCCTTGTGAAACATTGAAATTCTCTCAAACATACTAATAGTGGTACCTTTTGGTTTGGCTTTGAAGATGCTATGAAAGTGGCATGCTGCAAATGGAGGAGCCCAGCCTAGGAAGCAGTGACAGGCTGTGCTGGGCCATCAGCGATGCCCTGAATAGCCTGGTCTAGAGCATGGTTTCCAGGCTGTGCTGATGGCACTCTTGACTGAGCTGCACAGCCTGAGATAGTTGTGCCATTGCATGCTTTATCTTGGAGTTGTGCAGTGCTCAATCTGTGCACATATTAACAACAGCCTGATGTATTCCAGTAACAGTAGCTCTGAGGACTGGGGATGTAGCTTAGCAGTAGAGCACTTGCCTAAGATGCACAAAGCCCTTTTCCCCACCTCCAGCATGACAAAGAAGAAGAAAAAAGAAAAAGAAAAGAATAGAAAAAAACATCAGCACCAGGGAAATGTGTATTTGCTTATAAAATATATGCATGTTCCACTCTCAATCCATGTAAAACTATGTGTGTTTAAAGATAAAAGTACAGAGACTTGGGCACTGGTGATTCATACCTGTAATCTAGCAACTCAGGAGCCAGAGTCTGAGGATGGTAGTTCAAAGCCAGCCCAGGCAGCCAAATTTGTGTGTGTGTGTGTGTGTGTGAGAGAGAGAGAGAGAGAGAGAGAGACAGACACAGAGAGAGACAGAGAGAGACAGAGCGAGACAGAGAGAGAGAGACAGAGAGAGACAGAGACAGAGAGAGACAGAGAGAGAGAGAGCTGGTCCTGAAGCTTGAACTCAGTGTCTGGGCTCTGTCCCTGAGTTTTTGTTTTTGTTTTTTTTTTGCTCAAGGCTAGCTCGCTACCATGAGAGCCACAGCTCCACTTCAGGCTTTTTGCTGATTAATTGGAGATAAGAATCTCATGGACTTTCCTGCCTCGGCTGGCTTCAAACCTCAAATCCTCAGACCTCAGCTTCCTGAGTAACTAAGATTACAGGCATCTCTAACTAAATAGCAAAAAGCCAGAAGTAGAGGTGTGGCTCAAGTGGTAAGAGTTTCTCCCTTGAGGGAATAAAGCTAGGCAGCAGCATGAGTTCTTGAGTTCATGCCCGAGTCCTGGCCCCAAACAAATGAACAAACAAACCAAAAGCCACACACACAAAACTAAAGTGAATACCAGTGTGTGGGTTGGAATAGCTCTGTGGAGATGCAGGCCTAGGAAGAATTTGTACAGGGTTGTTCTCTCCTTCAGCCTGGGCATCATTGTGTTCGTAGGGCAACATCTGTATCCTAAGAGTGATGTTGAAAAGTTTTCCATCTTCCTTCCTGTCGGATTCCGTTTCAGAATACACAGTCATCAATGAAGCCTGCCCTGGAGCCGAGTGGAACATCATGTGTCGGGAGTGTTGTGAATACGACCAGATTGAGTGTGTCTGCCCTGGAAAGAAGGAAGTGGTGGGCTACACCATCCCATGCTGCAGGAACGAGGACAATGAGTGTGACTCCTGCCTCATTCACCCCGGTGAGCCAGGGAGGGATGCCCCTGGGGTTTCTTCCATGTTATCCAATGTAATGGATAGAAGTTGTCTGAATGCCTGAATTGTAGCAGCAGCCATCATTGGCATGAATGTGACACAACTCAGTCCATTGTAACAGGTAGGAAAGGAATGAGAGGAGTTAGTATTTCTTGCATTGTTAAAAGTTGTAAATCCGAGAAATCATCTACTCATTTGTTTAACAAGCAGACAGAGCAGCTCCCATGTCTGTTACTGGAACTACAGCGACATAAAAGAAAAAAAAAATCTCAGCACTCCCAGAGCCTAAAGGCTGGTGGAGGAGATGGATCACAGGAAGTGCATCGTTAAGTGCAGTGATAGGGATGCACAGGGTACCATGGCAACCCAGAGGGACTGAGGGTGAGGTAGAGGAAAGATCAGTGAAGACTTGTTAGAGGAGGTACAGGGCTGGCTAGAGAGAGAATCAACATGCTGGTGGGTGGAGGGGATCTGGTGGAGGGGTCCCACCACCGGGCATAGCATAGAGAACTATGGCTAGAGAAAGCTTGAGCCTTCCACAACTTCAGTTGGCTCAGTCTGACAGAAGTGTGTAAATGGTGAAAGATGCAGAGAGAAGGAGACAGACAGACATGAGATTTAGAGACCACAATCTGAAGGACCAATCAGGGACCAGATCCAGAAGTGCTTTAGAGGTCATTTGGCATTTGTTGCCAATCTCATAGGTGGTTTTAATTCCAATCACAGGTGGTTTTAATTTCTGTCATGAGAGCAGATAATAATCGCTGCTGGTGGCAGTGGTTCAAGATGATCAAGGTCTGGGGACATGAATAGCAGGGGTGTCCAGGGGGACCTCCAGTATCATCCCATAGCACCAAACCCTCAATGGACCAGTGTGGGTTCTAGGCAGTGAGCCTCTCCACTTGGTCGTTTGACAACGTTGCTGTCTTTCCCATAGCCTTGTTCATCTTAGTCACCAGGATGGTGTTCTTCCCTCCCCCACACCTCTTTGTCATGAACCTGAGGACCTGAAAGTGTATAACTGTGCTAAAAGAGAGTTTGCAGAGCCCTTAAGACCAGGCTCAGGATGTATCCATCTCCCTAAGAGAGCCATGTGTCTTTCTCTTGTAGAACACACACACACACACACACACACACACACACACACACACACACACACTACGGGCCAATGCCAAGAAGCATGCTGTCTGCTCAAGAAAATGCTAGTTCGTCTTAAGCAGTTCATTAGCCATTAATTAATTTATGTATTCATCATTCACTTACTCAAAGAGCATGCCAGCACTATATTAGTCCTAAGGATATAATATTGGTCAGGATGTAGCCTTTGATAGGGAAGTAGGTACTAGGGTGCCAGTGGTTCATACTGATAATCCTACTTAGGAGGCTGAGATCTGAGGATCATGATTCAAAGGCAGCTTAGGGAAGGGAAAGTCCATGAGACTCTTATCTCCAATTAACCACCAGAAAACTAGCAGTGGAATTGTGGCTCAAAGTAGAGCTCTAGTTTTGAGCAAAAATAGCTCAGGGACTGTGCCCAGGTCATGAGTTCAAGCTCCACAACTTACAAAAAATGATCAAGCTAGTCGGGATAGAGATAAGCCAGGGGGAATTGTGGGGAAACCAGTATAACAATGACGGCCTTCTTTGCAGGAACTGACTATGTACCAGGTACTTTCCATTTGCTCATTTAACTTTTAAACACTCCTAAGATGTGGGATCCATTTTGATCCCAGTGTGACAAATGAAGGCAAGGAAACACAGAGATTGCAAACAATTGGCTCTAGCACACTCAGCTGGACACTGACAGAGACAGAGCTTCGCTCTCTATTCTGATAAATACCAAGGGATGATTCCTACCGGTTCTCCCTGTCCCCAGCCACTCAGGAGGCCATGTTTTGAAGTGATCTAGGCCTGAACATTGCTTAACCCTAATGTGGCTTGTTGATGAGTGATTTGCGGATACCTTTCAGGCTAAGTCCCTTAGCAGGCATTGCCTACTGTATCCAATGGCCTAGCTTGGTGACAGATGTGTATCACAGAGATGACTTATATATATATATATTTTATTGTACAAATACTATACAGAGGGGTTACAGTTACATGAATATGGTAATGAGTACATTTCCTATCGAACATTGTTACCTCCTCCTTTGTTACAGAGATGACTATTTATAGTATTTCCTATGTTATTAATTAAAAAAGAATGTGCAGCATACAGTATAAGCCTAATATATGTGCATATATGCCTGTATATACACACATGTATACACTTATGTATATTATTTCAGAGAAAGGATATTAGTAGAATTCTCTAGATAATTTTTTCTGCTGAAATTTTGTTTTTGTTTTTTTTGTTCACCTGAATTTTCTCAATATTCTATAACAAATGAGAAATACATCTATAAAGAGAAAAATAAGAATACCTATTGACAGATTTTGCATTTTAGAAGAAGTTATTTCATGTTACTTTAAAGCCTCAGGACTAAGGGTATGCGTGACTCAAGCTGTGGAGCACCAGCCTAGCGAGCTGTAAATCCAGAATTTAAACCTCAATACCACCAAAACAAAACAAATAAGAAACGAAAACAAACCCATCAACCATTAACTGGAAAGATGGTTTGGACCACTCTCCTACTCTCTGTTTCTGAATTCAGGAGAGTCTAGTATTGCCCTTGGGATGAGCAGTTTTTCTCAGGGTTTTGGCATGTTTGTGTGTGTGTGTGTGTGTGTGTGTGTGTGTGTGTGTGCATGTGTGTGTGTATGTGTGTGTGTGTTGGGGGTGTGTGTCTAGAGGTTCTGCACAGTCAAAAAGCGTTGGTCAGGTGTCCCGAAGACCACCAGAACTAGCAAGGAGGAGGACTAACATCCTTGTTGGAAATCTTTCAGGCTGTATGATCTTTGAAAACTGCAAAAGCTGCAGGAACGGCTCATGGGGGGGCACCCTGGATGACTTCTACGTGAAGGGCTTCTACTGTGCCGAGTGCAGAGTGGGCTGGTACGGCGGAGACTGCATGCGTAAGTAGGCCCCACACACGTGCTCCAGCCATCACGGGCACACGCTATTTTGTAATGGAAGTTTACAACAGGCCAAACTTGATCTCACTGGAATCTGACTTTGGAAATGCTGGAGGCCAGGGGGCTTTCTAGGTAACAAAGATGTGTTTCCATCTGCTGAGTGTGGATTGTGGACAGCTGTTTGGTATTGCTGTTCCCAGAAGGCATCTCTCTCATTCTCTCTGTTCAGAGGTCTGCCTACAACCTGTCTCATGTCAGAAGCAGTGACATCGTCCAGCACAGAGATGGAGAAGACTTCAGCAATGTTGCCTCAAGGGCATGATAAATAAGAAATTCGTGTGGATACATTTTCTTGAATCCTGAATTACAGTCCTGGAACCCCACAGCAAATTACCAGCATACCATTTGTCCCAGGAAGGGGATTCTGGAAAGTACTTGATCTCCAAGAATGACTTAATCTCTGTTAGAGTTCCTCCTCTGGATTCCAATAATTCTTGGAAAACAGAGTGGAAATTTAGCTTTTCTCTTTGTCTAAGATTCCCTTCTGTAGAGCCCTATTTGTCAGGGGTCCTTTTGAGAGCTTCGTCGACTCACAGTTATGTGATTTCAGGGGATCTTTTAATATGCTTCTTATTAGAATCAGAAACAGGATGAATTAGCAGTCTGAGTAATATTTGGCAGGAGGGACTGGGGGTTTGAACTCAGAACCTCATTCTTGCTATCAGCCCATTCTTGCATGGGCCTACCTCCAACTTCAAACCTTCAGATCTCCGCTTCTTGAGTAGTTGTTGGATCAGAGATGTGTTCTACTACACCACGCATGTTGTTTGAGATGGGATCTTGTTAACTTTTTTTTTTTTTGTGCATAAGCTAGCCTCAAGCTATGATCCTCCAGATCTCTTCCTCCCATGGAGGATCATGGACATGAGCCACTATGCCTGCCCCTTGAGGAATTTTACTTCAAGGAAATGGTGGTTTATGAAAATGGTGGTTTGAGTATCATTGGTATTCTCCACTTGATCTAACTTGTAGCAAAGTGTCACAAAATGTTTGGGTCCACATACTTCCACCATTCTCAGAGGAGAGCTTTGTCAGCACTTCAGGATGTACCCAGGAGATCTAGAATATGGTTAATTTTTAACATGCTGATCTCTTTCTGCTGTAATTTAAAACTCTGATGCTGCCAATTTAGATTGTTTCTAGGAAATTTAATTTTGTACTTGATAGCTAGCTTCCAAGTAGGTGAGGAACAAGATTCAACCCTGGTCTTCTCATGAGATTATGTAGCAATAATGTTCAGAACATTTATCTTTGAATGATGGAATTTGCCTGTTACTACTATGAGGCTTTGGGAAACTCATTTAGCATTCAGTGCTACCTATCTAACAGAGCTGATTTGAAGGATTCAATGAGATAAATGCATATGAAGCATTTAGTGCTGGTGCCCAACATGGCCTCACATTCCTGCCTCAGCCTCCCAAGGGCTGGGGTTACAGTTTCACAACACCTCATTTAACTCCCTTGCAGTCAATGACAATACTATTCTATCTCCTACTAACAAGTTCCCCTCTGATAGCTTAGTTTACTCTAGAAAGCAGGAAGATAAATCTTTGTTGAGAGTATAGTGGATAAGGTTTCAGACAGCCATGGAAGGAGGAAGAAGAGATGTCACCGAGTATACATCCAGGCATGTCCAGAGTAGCTAAGACCCAGCTGATTCAGAAGCTCCAATGTTGGGAGAGTTGTGTAAGGCTCTCCAGTAGTGTGGGCATTGGTTGATCCAAGACTTGGCTAAGATATAGCTAACCAGGGCCCTAGCTAGGTTGAGAAATACATGAAACCAGAAAGAGCCCCACAAAAGAAGCCTTAAGACTAGAGGTCATAATGAGGAGGGAAAATTGGCTTAGTGGTAATAAAGCAGTGGATGGATGGTCAGAGAATAGAGCATCTAAGGAGATGCTTCTAGATGTGGTTGTGGTATAGCACACTCATGCTGGCCTGGATTGAGGTCCAGGCTGTGGTTGGGTTCAGGCAGAAGGGCAGCAGCATGGCAGGGGTGCTCACAGAAGCTCAGGTGGCCAAGCCAGACACAGAGGCACATTTGAGCCTTTGGCTCACATCCCATCCACTCTTATTCCCCTGGCAGAAAGAAGTGAAGCATCTTAGCTGCAATCAGTGAGCAGGAAGCGCACTCTATCTCGTTGAGGAGGAGACAGCTGTTTCTTAAACAATAAATACTCTAAGCACTCCAGGTGAAAAAGAGGACATTTTGTCAATAGGAGAGAGGACCAGAAGAATATATGTGTGCATTCTGAGCATATGCCTTTCCTAAATTACCTACTGGTTGAGTCTTTGTTGAGCCTTAGTGTGAGCTGGCCAAACTCAGAGTCTGATTGGTTAGACTGGTGATAGTGAACTGAGGCTATATAAAGGACAGAACTGTCTCAGGGCCCCCAGTTTTTGCAGATGTCTCCTGCCTTTATTCATTAGTCCACAGACACATTTTTACAGATCACTGTATGTGCTGAACATATAACAATAAAAAGACAGTCATAGTCTCTGCCATGGTAGAACTTGCCATTTAGAGTACACACACACACACACACACACACACACACACACACACATGCACACATACGCACACACACGCACACGAGGTAAAAAGAAATTTGGAGCACAGTCAATGCAGTAAAGAAAACAAATGGGCTTAGGAATAACTTCCTATCTGATTCTGTTTCTGTATCTGTGAGGGTCCAATTGTGTTGATTGATTCCATTATGAAAGCCCAATTCTGTACAGTATGTCATCACAGCCTCTGGCATTCATGGAGCATTTCTTAGGGAACAAGTGACATCAAGAGTCCTCAAGAGGTGTGCAATCCATCAATGCAGCAAGGCTTCTTTGAAAGCCCCATTATGATGGTATTAGGTTCTTCTCACCTGCACTTCATATTCTTGGCACCACACCAATGTGCACAAAATTCATTAGAAGAAGTAATTCATTCCCTTATATGTTGAATGACTGCTTGGTACTGGGTACTGTGCTACCCTCCTGTGTTAGAGGAGAACTGAATCATTGGGTGGCCCTCATCATGGCTGGGACACAGGGCAGGAGCCACACAGCAATGCAAGCATTTGCCCAGTAGATGGCACCCAAGCAATCCTTTCAGACGCCTAGATTCAGATGGAGGAGGCTGCTTTGCTGATACCATCTGTTGACAGTTTGTATTTTTGCCACAGGAAGGGCCACAGGCAAGAGCTCCAAAGGGGCATAGTGATTCAATTCAAATTACAGAACATTCCACGTTGACATGGAGCAACACCTTAATTTGTTCAATGTCTTTGACCATGTCCAGATATTAACATTGAAGTTTAGTATTAATGCATAGTCTTAACATTTTGTATAGTATGAATGAATAGTCTCAAATGTTATTACATGATTGATTGATTCATAACTGCAGGAGATTGTCTGATCCAGGAGAACAGACAGAGTGCCCGAGGCCAGAGTTCTGAGAGGACCCATTCACACCTTCCTTCTAGGAAAAATGGTATCTTCAAGTATCCACATGAAGAGCTAGTGGTATTTCATTACTACAGGAAAGAACTCTTTCTCTCTTCCTGCTTTCAGCTTCTTAATGTGAGATATTGTAGATCTACAAGTTGAAAGAACAGTATCTATTCCAATATTCTCTGCTTGGATCCACCAATTATTAGTTCTTCAGTATCTGGGTTTCTCTTTTTCCATACTGTGGATTTGTGAATTTTAATATTTTCTGCATTCCATCATGTTAGTATGAAATTTTCTCTTTGATGTTCACATTGTCCCAGAGTTAGCCATTGAAGACCGTTTGATAGGCTTCTACCACATCATTCTCTGAGCACACTCCCCCACACTCTCCCCTCCCCTCCCTGTAGAAATGGGTTAAGCTCACTGTACTGCTTAGGGTCCGATCCTGAAAACAACAGTTCTCCAGGACTCTGGGCTCTTTTCAGTAGGGAAGGGTACTCAAGAACTGTGATCTAGGTCTTAGCTATTCAGCGTGCTGGCATCTAAAGTCCAAACCGGAGCTCCCTTCAAAGCTTCCTAGACTGGGAAAGTTGAGTTCTTCAGAGGAATGACTCCATTGACCTCCAGTGCTCGCTGACCCCCTGCAGTGGTGTTATTTAACTTATCTCTCAGGCTTTTCCTTAGTCTCCAAGACCAATGGAAGGGTCCAGAGCCTCCCACGATGCTCCCAGTATCACCGTGACGCCAACTTTTCAGTCCCTGAAGGATACTGGAGACCTAAGAAGGTTAGGACATCAACCCAGATGAGAGGGGATTTATGGGGAGAGATTATGGGCCCTTAATACGTTTATCTTCTTAGTAATGGTTTGGTCAGAGGTAGAGGAACAGAGGAAATGGCTGTAAGCCATGGCCCAAAATGTTTGAGGAGCTAGGATATCAGAGAAGATGATTTGTGTAGGCTGCTTCCGGAGCCATATCGAGAATGATTAAAAGTAGGTTTGAGAGGGGAGAAGGGAAGGAGGAAGGTGGTGGGGAAGAAGAACAAGGGAGGGAGGAGGAGGCAATGAAGGAGGGAGGGACAGAGGAGAGAGAAAGAGGAGGGGATGGGAAGGAAAAGGAGAGGAAAGAAAGGGAGAGGAAAGGAGAGGAGACTCCTGGAATCAAGTTACTGAAAACTGGTTCATCTTGCCTTAGATTTTGTGTCCTGAAATTTCAGGAAAATAATAGTGCTACCTTAGCCTAGATCCTGTCTTTTTGGTTGAGTTGATAAGACTTAGTTTGTATATTATGATAATGATGATGATGATGATGATGATGATGATGATGATGAGCATACACTGGCAGCTTTGAGGAGGAACTAAGCAGTAGAGTGGTACACACTATGTTTTCTGGACCATGACTTCAATGGAATAGATAGGCCAATTGGTATAGGAAAGAGGGACTGGAAAAGTACTTCGATTGGGCTGAGAGAAATGCCATTATCTGGTTTTATC